TTCTGAGCGCTGGATACCCTTGAGTCATTATCAACTTCCGAAATAGGCAACACATTCACTCAGCTGGACAGAAAGACTTTAAAGTCGTTTTGGATTTACATAAACATATTAGAAGTCAAGAAAGCTTCAAGAGTGGTCTGGTGAGGTAACAATCTCAACCCCCTTCTTACCACCCCACCCCCCGTTTTCTTTTGTGCTAAATCAGTCATGTTCAATGACTCATCAGGCAGCTCCCTCCTCTCATGCTAAGGCTGCACACACCAGCTTCTTGGGGATGAGTTACCTCTTGGTTACGATTTAGTAAATCAGAAACTACTCAAGTCTGTTACTTGGTTTAAAACAGGCATCACACAGCTTTTAAGCTACCTTTTGAGCATACTTTACCTTTTTCCTGGGGAAAGCAAAAGCCTCCATCTATCTAGAGGAGAAAACAGCCAAAGAGCAAGTCATCATGAGAACTCATGACTCTCTGGTATCCTCCCCTTCTCTTCAGGTGGTTTGTGCACAAGTAGGGGTGGGGGTAGAGGTAGGAACTGGAAACGCTTATGAAACCGGATGGGTCCAAAACACCAAGTCGTCCTCAACATCAGTCCCATGCGCAGGATAGCCAGTTCAAGTTGTCCTTGTTCCTGAAGTTCTGGTGGCTCATGAGCTCTGTGCTATATGCCTAAAGGGCAGCTGGGGCAGGACAGGATCGTCTGCAGCAGTGATCTGAGTCACTTCTCAGCAACATCTCGGGGTTAACAAGATCACATGTTTCAGCTGCTACTTAAAGCCTTGGAGGCACTTCAACCTCTTAACTTGGGTAAGCATTAGAAGCCTAGTAGGTAGTGTCCAACTCCTCAAAATAACTTGAAGAGACTACCTTCCATTCTTGGAGCTTCTGAGCATGCCAAGGACATAGCCATGAGTTCTTAGGCCATGACCACTATTTTGTTACTAACAAATTACTGACAAGAAGAGAAATGTCCTCAACTTCCTTTTTGCTAGTCAGTTGTTTCTCCTCTTCTATTTCTAAAACAACATTCTTCTCACTCCCTGAGACTTAAAGTTCGAAGGAAGACCAGAGAAAGATCATCAAATACCCTTAGCAATGTTTGCTCTGCAGCCACTCTCTTGAATGCAGGCAGGGTATTTTTGGGGTGCTAGTGATCATAGTAGTTTTTGAGGATAGACAATACATCAAGAAAAGAAATAACATCTCTGCTTTTTCTTAGGAAGCCAAAGTGTCTAATCTGTCCAATTTTGAAATAGGGTCATTTTCCTTGTTGTTGTGATGAGTGCAGAAAAGCATCCTTAAAAAGGTTATATTGACCACACACATTGCTTTGAAGCAGCATCTTCTTTCCAAGTTTACTTCTACCTCTTGAGGGAATGTTTACTTAGCTAGTTCAGCCATTCATTCATCCACAAACTGCACCCTGAAGATCAACTACTTATCAGGAACACTAGCAGAACCCAGATCAGGGTGATTCTGCAGTCAAGGTCATTCTGATTCACAAATGGGTCAGCTTAGCTGTAGCCCAATATCAGAGGCCACAGCTCCAAATCAGGTCAGGCAGGCAGCTATATGGAGAAAGTCCTTGGTCAACAAGCACATCTCTTCATTGTTCATAGGAAAACAAAACACAACAAAACAAGACATACCCGGAAGTTAATCGGATGGATCAGTAGCAAGTCCTTTGTAGACAGAAATCAACATCCTATAATATCCCTTTGTTTCTGCCATACATATTAATATGAAAACCTGCATCCAATTTAATTGATGCATGACAGATATCGTCACATTCTGAAAGCTGTTAAAACGAGCACATTGTCTCTGTGCTGGAAGGTGGGGAGTGAGGGGGTGACAGGGCAGTGGAGCATGATGGTAGAGTATAGTAAGTAGCCTGCCACTAAAATGACATTTCCCAAACCTAAATCATTTGGTATACAGTACCCTGAAGGTGCCCTGGAGGAACTGAGTTCCTGGGAAGGAAAAGACGAAAGCCTACTCCGGAGCTCAGATTATTAGCAGTTACAAATATCTAGTTCTGACAGCATCTCTTTTCGCTCCCCTACTTCCTGCATGAGAGACATCAGAGCACAGTGGCTGCTTCTTCCTCTGGTGCCTAATGATACTGCACTCTCAAGAACCGTGGTTCCTAAATTTGGCTTCTAGGGTCCCACCCTAGACCTACTGAATCCCTCTCCTGTGGTAGAACCTAAATATCTATTTTTAATAACCTCCTTTTTGGCTCCAAGTTCTCAGAACGATTCTGAAGATCATCCCAGTTTAGGAATCACAGCCCCATGCCACAATTATGGTGAATTAAAAAGAAATTTTTTTAAAGGAACTGTCCACCCCATCCCATCCTCCACCCCCACATGTGGTCCCGCCAACATTCTCGTTATAAGCAATGGAGAGAACAGAACAGCTTCCTCCACTACACCCAAATACCCAGCAATTAGCAGACTAGGCCCACAGATTCCTCACATTCTAAAGCTGTTAAAACAAACACTGTGTGTCTCATGCAAAGTTTGCTCAGCAGCTCCCATGATTGTGTGGGCTCCCCTAGCCATCTAAAAGAGCAAGCCAAGGCTGCTGATTCCAGGTGAAATGACAATTAAGGTACCTCAGTCTTGCACTCTGGACTCCATCCAACTTCAGGCAAAGACTGACTAATCCCTTGTTGGCGATACAAAATTAATAATACAAACAAAATCACTTGCCGTTCGCCAAATCTAATCTAATCATTCCTCGCAGTAATAATTTTCCTCAGGATAGTTCAACTTCAACCTTGGCCTGGCATGCACAAGAAATGAACCAACGATGTTGGCCTTATGTGTAAGGTACTGTGGGGAGAAATGCAACTCCTTAGAACGGACTGGGATGAAATGTGAGGATTCAAGTCAGAATTAGTAAAGAGGACCATGAAGAAAAAAAAGTCTTTTCATTTTCCATCCACACACTAGTCTGCCTTCACGGGGCCTGCATTAATATGGTCTCGGCTTCAGAAAGGCTTTGACTCTCCTGCTATTATCCTAGTCTTGCTTTAACACATACTTTATATTAGAATGCGTTCCAGGAAGCATATGGCAATAGAACTAGGTCAACCATTAACCAAATAACAGGAAACTGCTCGGCAACGCACACCCTTCAAAAGCTTATTGAGCTGGCTCTTCAGAATATGTCCTTCAGTGAGGTTGAAACTAGCAGGTCCCATGGTTGTTTTTTTTTTAATGCTGCAAGGTCATCTCATACCTAGAAGGCTTCTGCACATACTGGACTTTCAATGGTCTAAATCATTCCATTGAAACATTCATTCAAGAACCAAAGTCAAAGGTGAAGAAGCATGTTTTCTGAATCTCATTGAGCATCTTCAAAGAATGTGACTATGATCCTGGTCCCATTGATTCATTCTTTCAATTCTGTTCAATTGATAGGAAACACTATAGTCTCATCTTTTCTTTCTCTACCCACCCCACTCCCATATTCCTTGTTTCCATGCCACAGTCCTTTTAGACCTAATAGGTCAAAATAAAGTCTCAGAAAAAGATCTGTCTTCCCTTTTCACATAAAACTACAAATGAGTTTCCTCCAGATCCATTGGCCTTGAATTGCTGAGTACTCTTGAGTTTGAATTTTCCCCTTTCCAAAGTTTCAGACTCAGTTCTACAAAATCTAACTTTACAATGCCCTGCAGAGTCATTCATTCGGGGTCATGCTAATAAACTACCAACAACAATCACATGCTCCTTGGTTTCTTTAACCCCGATGACACGTCTGGCATTCTTACTTGCAAAATATATTTCACATGGCATCTTAGAGTTAGGCAGTATCCCTTGATGAAGAACTTACATTAACTCTCATCTCTGAATTAAAATGTCAGTGCCAAATCTCCACTTACGGAAGCTGAATGCTGAACAATAACTGGAGTAGCAATTATTGTTTAGAAGACACTGAAAGATAATGTTCCGTTTCAGAAATCCAGGTGTATGAAAGGAAGATATTTAAAAGCAATATGACCTTTTAAAAAGTGCTGGATCTGGTTATTGACTGAACATACTGACTATGTGCAGCTGCCCGGGCACTGGGCAAGGCGCTGACAATACAGGCGAAGGAGGGACACTCTGGGCCTGCGATTCTGTAGCTTCCAGTCTAGTCCCACTCCGTAATTAATTATGAGACAAACCAGTGGGTTGGCTTTCCAAGTTGATTCGGCTAAATTTTAACTAAGATCTTTTCCCCCTGAAAATAGTCAACAAGGCTCCATGGAGGGTCAACATATGGCACACTGGATTAGGGGTCAAATGAAAGAGGCTTGTAAGAGTCATTCATACTGTGCCGTCTTTGGGATCTTGGACAACCCAATGCTCCCATCCGGGCTCTTCTTGGGAACTGTCAGGTTTTTGTTTTGTTTTTCTTTTTCTTTTAAAGAAGTTGGTTGTATAACCATAGTCAAAACAAAACAAAAACCCAGAACGTCATCTGAGGAATTTAATAAATAATCTATTACAGAATGTTCAAGATAGTACAAACAGAAGGTTAAGGCACTTTCCTTCCCTTTTACAAGATTTGGAGTCATGTTTCATAGAGGAGCATGCTGGCTTTTAAAAGTCACCACACAACAGGATCCTGCCCAGCCTCTGAGGACAAGAAGCTAAGTATTTGTCAGTCCCCCCACTACAAGCTTCCAGGAGCCCCCGCACAGGGATTTCATTTGGACTCCACTGTACTCTGACTTGTCATCAGAGAGTCCTTGTTTAATAGTGTCCTGTCTATACTATGTGTTCCTAAGGATGGGAGGGAAGGGAGTTGGTATTTTTAGGTGCCCACTCTATCTCAGGTTCTGCACCAGAGATTTACATTCATACTCTCCTTTATTCCCCACAGGAAGCTTACAGAGTGGACCTCCTCCCTCCTTCTCTCCCCTCCCCCCCCCCAGCCAAATAAGGAAAGCGAGGATCAGAGATTAAGCTTTCACTCCAAGTCACACAGCAACTCTCTGGCTACATACCATGGCTCTCACTGCCAAGGTCTTCATGGGCCTCCCGACACCGATAGCAAAGGGTTCCTCTCTATGTGGTCTCTGTGCCAGGCAAGGGTTCCTCCGAGGATGAGAGCACGCTGCTCCCCACACAGTCTCCAGGCCCCTGGGGAGAAGGTCCTGTGTTCCTCAGAGTGCCCACACACTGGTGATGGAACAAGGTCAGGCCAGTTCCTAAGATACAAAGCAAGATGAACTCAGTGGGTCCTCCTGCCAATTGCTCTTGTCCTTACTCATAGGCAGGAGCATGCCAAGGCCTGCCTGGAATGACGCAGGCAAGGGTCACCATGGGTGATCCTATGCCCCTCCAGACGGTTACACAATAAAAGCTCTGGTGCAGAGACAGGCTGGCTCCTTGAAAACCCACCACCATTGTTCTGGAGGCATCAAGCTTCTCAAAGAAACCGTTTGCACCTGTCAATCTCCACGTCAAACCCAAGAGATACAAAGTAAAGCAGAGCCTAAAGGGAAAAGTTCTGTGGCCCAATCCATCTTGGGAGTCAAAAGTCCTTAATATTTCTGGCTGGCCATTCCTTTTCAATTCACAAAGGAGACAAAATCTCCCCCTTTGACTGAAGTTCTGACTGCAAACACGTTTTAATAGAGGGACACAGATGAAAAGTCATATTTATGAAAGGCCCAACTTGTGCCACTAATAAAAATGGACCCCGACAACCACTCTCTTTCTACTCTTAGCAGCTCCTCTAGACCAAGCCCAGAAAAGCAGGATGGCTGAGATGTAAAGCTACTTAACATAAGCAAACAGAGGCCGCACTTGGGTTAGGAGATGAGGCTAATTTTGGATGACTGTTTCGTGTGTGAGGAGACGGAGCCTGGACTTCTCCCTGGCTCGATGCAAACTCTCGCGCCTACATTTAACCAGCTCCACCTCAACTTTTTTTCTCAACGTTGGGAAAACAAGTGGCGAGGCAGCTGAAAGGAGGAATTCATTCCTGCGCCGTGAGGTCTTCACGCCAGCCGATCTGCTCCACGGCTTGACGCTGAGAGAGGAATTCGGCTTTTAGGAACATCTGATGCTAGCCGGGCCTTGCAAGTGTCTTGGCTGATCCCCATCTGAGAGGGTTCACTCGAGAGAAGCTGTGAAAATCCTCCTGACCAGGCAGCAGGAATGGAGAGAGCTCGTGGTGTTCAAGTGCCACTCCGTGGGTCCCTCCCCGGGAAAGCTCTAAAAGACTCCATGCCTTGAATGCACACAGGACACAGCCTCAGAGGTCACAAACAAGCCGATAGCATAGTCAATGGACACCAGGATCTGCTTTTCCCAGAGTCGGTGACTTGCTCTCTCTGTGACATAGCTGTGAAGTCCACTGGATGTCCAGCCAAGTGTACTTGTGAATGTCCTCCCCTCTCATGCCAATGAGAGGACCCGGTTCCAGCCTCGGTGGCTTGATGTACTTGCTCATCAGTTTTCAGGTTTCACCAGGGAAAAACAATCTACCCCTTAAACTGGAGAAGCTTTCTTTCCAGAACGAGACAATCCTGGTGGCTCTCTCCAGTTACATAGCAATTATGTAATTGCTAAGCTCCTGCAGAATCACTGGAACCATTCTGCAGCCTTCTCCTGACTGACTACAGCTGCAGCACAGTGTTGCGAGATGATTGCAGCCTTTGAACGGATGACCGGTCTCCAATCTGAGCACAAAGGGGTGTACAATGGGATTCCATCTCAAGCACAAAGACGCTCCTGCCCCACGAAGCCCTCCCTCCTCCTCCCAGGCTGTGCAGCTCACTCTTGCCTTTGCCCGCCCTCCATGTGTGGTTCACTCTGTTTACACAAGCGGGTTCCAAAAGAGGCAGATAATCAGCTGACGCTTTGCCACGGACCACGCACAAGGCGATCCTTTTTTAACACGGGGCACGGAAGGCTCCAGAAGAGGACGCGATGCGAGGAGGGGCGGGAAGATCTCGCTAGGCTTCCTGCACTGGCATGAAAGGAGTTGCTTCCCTTCCTCCTGCCAGCTCCGATCCTTCATGTTGACATTACACATCCTGTCCTGGAGATCCACCCCCTTGCTGCCGCTTGCCCGGCTGAATTATCTCCTGCGTCACAGCGGTGGTAACAGAACTGCTTGCTCGGCAGACCTGGGAGCACCATTTCAACGCTTAATGCACTCAGCAACTGGACGTATCACCGGAGCGCCGGGGCCGGTCTGTGCCCCTCTCAGCAGCCGAGCAGTACTCGACCTAACCGTCTGCTAACCAGATGGCTTGGTTTGCCTCTTGGGACCAAAACTATTAAACTTTACTTTATTAAATTCTATGAAAATGTGGGGACAGTTTACAGCCGCATGTCTGGTTCATCTCCAACAGGGTTGCTAAGATGAAAATGACCTAAAAATAACTGGAAACTCGACGACTTCACACCAGCGGAGAACAAGATATTTCGGAGTAAATATTTAAATGAGGGATCTGCCAGATTACTGTCCCCCAGCAGCCCTGACTGCATGCTTAGCAAATCATATTGTAAATGTACACAAACAAAGACGCAGAAATGCGAGCATCTAAAGAGGGGTCCTTTCTCCCACCACCTGAAGCCACAGCTCACCAGCATCAGGCTCCAAGCTATTTACATGTGGCTGCTGAGGGCACCATCTCCACCATAATCACCCAATTACCAACACAAAGAGCCTAACTCCATGGACAGAGAATGGAACATCTCCTGGGTTCGACCGCCTAGGCACGCTGCAGGCCAGCTAGGTAGGCAAAAGGCGCTGCTCAGTCAACGTTCTGATGACTAGATGAACGGACACGTGTTTCTTAAATATAACAATCCTATAAAACACGTACTTTCCAGCTCCATCATCATCCCACAACTGCTAACGAGGCAAGCAGAGCCAGGCGGCAGATGAATGGCAGGGAGCAAACCATCTGCACCAGAGGCGCTGGATGGCCGCTAATTGATTACTGCAAATGAACTGCAGAGGCGGCCCTATTATTGGGTCCCTGGCAGGGTGCTGGGTGCTTTATATACATGGATGCCCCTTGGCCTTCGCTGGAGAGAATTCCATTTTAAGAATAAACTGGAGGCTAGGAGCAAATCAGGAGCCTGACCCAAATTAAGCCAATCACCTTTCTACTACTTTGTAGTCACAAGGAAGAAAGGACTGAACACTTGTGAAGGCGGCACTCCCAAATATATCCCTCAGTTCCAAGGAAACGGAGGATGGAGGGGGGGGGGGGCTTTCCATTCCCAGAGCTTTTCAGACAACCTAGGACTGCGGCTTGCGAGCCACATTCAGCTCTTTGGCCCCTTGAGTGTGGCTCTTCCACAAAATACCTCGGCCTGGGAGAGTCTATTTTGAAGAAGTGGCGTTAGAAGAAGTTTAAGTTTAAAAAATTTGGCTCTCAAAAGAAATTCCAATCGTTGTACTGTTGGTATTTGGCTCTGTTGACTAATGAGTTTGCAGACCACTATCCCAGGAAGTCAGAGTCTCAGATACTATTGTATCTCTCCCTCCCCACCCCCCCAATTCTTATTCTACCGAGGGCACTCTAGATTAGTATAACCACTGCCACACCCAAAGTTACTCCTCCACTGCTTTAGTTGGGAGTCTACCCTTTGAGGCCAAAAAAAGTATCTCATTTGAAATCGTCCTAGAGATCTGAACCCCAGTAAATGCACATCTCCCTCTCTTCCTCAAATATCTCTGGGCATGGTTTTCAAGTGGTGACTATAAAGTTTCTTATAATTAAAAACAACTCCTTTGTCTCTGGGAATTTTCAAAATAAATGCATACATCATTCTTCTTGGGCAATCTTTGTTAACAGGTGAAAAATAAATCACTCTACTGTTTTACCAAAGAACCATGTGCGTGTCCTTTCTCTGCCACTAGCACCACCACCACCACCACCACCACCACCACCACCACGTACTACCACCAGGGAGGCCACCAATGTGCTTCTGACTTGGAGCAAACCAGGTTAGAGAAGTCCTGTTAGGCCCTATCAACACCACTTCACATTTTGAAATATCATCTACCCTGAAGGCATTCTAAAATTAGCCTCCTTACCCTGAGACCTCTAAGCATCTGATATTACAGTACGCTGGTGAGACCAAGTGGACATGGACTGTTAAAATAAACACTTGCACAGAGAAGACCAGAGCAATCCTCAGCAAGACCACAGGACAGCCCCCAAACAGGCTCAGCCCTATCTCTGTGAGGGAAGCCAGAGGCACCCAACCTTTTTAGAAGACAGCATACATAGCCAGTATTTTCACCGCAATAAGCAAACTCTCTTAGAAAAGCCATTTTGCCAGATGATGCCAGACAATAGGAACAGGAATAACATCTTTCTTCCAAAAAGCTCGGAGAAGTTCAGTGATTAAAAATCTGTTCCCCCACAAGACTTAAAGAAATCATTCTGCAAGGCTGGGACAGGCTTTGTTACCATGTACATGGTCTTGTCTAAGAGGACATGGCGTCAACCCTCAGGTTGTTCACAAATCCCTACTGAACACGCGCACAATCAGCTATAGAGTGCAAGCTGGAAGAGTCTACCCGAGAATGGGCAACAGCAATGAGTACATTCATCAGTTAAGGCGGACATGGCACAGAATTAATCAGTCAGGATTCAAAACGCTGAGTTTAAGACCAAGGATGAGACAATTCACACCTGGCAAAGCCCTGGGAGAAGATCTTGACCTCAGTTTCTCTATGAGAGAGGAAGGAAGAAACGATCATTTCTCAGGTACCAATTATGAACCAGGACCTAATACACTTAATAGCTTTTAGGTCTATGTCAATTGTACAGATTCTTATGATCCCCATTTCACTGAGTAGGAAATCATGGGAGCAGAGAAGTTAAGTGACTTATTCAAAGTCCTACAGCTAGGAAGGGACAGAGCCAAATTTCACCCTGTGCTTATATAGTGCTAAAGAGTGTGCTCTAACCACCACACGTTACTTCCTTAACAAAAACCTCTGCACTAAAAGCTGCATGTTCACCCAGATATACGGAGAACTCTGCACTCCTGATGTTTCCACAAAAAATAAAGCACCTCTCCCAGGGAGAATATATACACAGGAGACCCCTGAAAAGGGGGAAGGAAGCAACTGCCTTCACCGTCAAAAATCTGCATATAATTAAAGTCAACTCTCAGCTTACAGATTTCCAACCATGGATGAAAAATATATATGCACAAATATTT